TTATGTCGCAAAGGAGAAAGTCTCAACTAATAATAGTATTAGGAAAGTATAAAGACCTTTTTTGTCAATTTTTTTTTAACACAATCTTTACGAAATTCGGCTTCATGTTGTATAATGAATTTTGTCTACCATTTTACAAAATGTTAGATTCGTTTTAGCCGTGTAATTTTAAAGGTTCGCTGTACGAGAGCGACTGCGTAGTAAAACTGTATTATGCAATTTTAAAAAAATTTTATGTTTACTGCGCCTAAAGGCAGATTGACCAAACGGACAATTCATGTGACCGATCACTTGATGAAACTTCATCGTAAATCATGAAAAACTCAACACCTATAAATGACCGGATTTTCAGAACGATCTAAAGAAACAAGTAAGATGCATAGTGATATGAATAAATTATACAGGTTTCGATATAATATACGAATTGCAAACGAAATTATAAATCGTAGGAAATCGCTCAAAGTTTAGTCTAGTCACGTGGCCGAGATGTCCTAGACCTCTCAGATTTGATTAATTTATTTGTTATCATTAATTAATAGTTTTGTTAATAAAATGAGCAATTATTTTTTTCAATTTAAAGTTCGGAGTTTCAAGTGTAGAATATTGTGATTAATTTCATGTAAACTTGTCGTGTCTTCAAATAACTGATAAGATATCAAAAATAGTCATATGATCACATATTTGGTGATTTTGATATCACCCATGTGACAGCCTGATCAAGTATATATAGTCTCGTTTTGTTTACTTTGACCTCCTTTACACTTAGCGAAGTTTTGCTGGGTTCTTCGTTAAGTTAGTTATATTTCGCCATTTTTATGGTAAAAACCTTTGCACCTTCTTTACTTGCGAGCATAAGCCGGAGGAGGGTGATGACGTTGTATTGATATTTTAAGACACCGAGCCTCTCCGAGTCTGAAACTTTCCTTAAGAGTTAATCCTTCTCTTTTGTACAGTCCGAAAAAGGATAGAGGCGTCCTCATTTCCTTCGAATTTTTCTTACTATGAATGAAAAGCGGGGCGTCTCGTTCAGTTTTTACCCAATCAATTATGGAACAGAATTTCCAGTATTTCTGGTTGGTTCGATTCCAACATTGATTCTTACATTTATGACACGAACTTCTTTGCTTCACGTCTTACTGAAATTTCAACATGTTCTCCTTTCTAAAACAGGATTCGGGTTACCGATATTATTATAAATTATCGAGGAAAATATGGCGAAAAAATATTTATTATTATTTTTTTTTGTATTTATTATAATGAACTTTCTCCACTTTTTTTTTATGTATTGCAACGACACGAGGTAACAAACAAAAATTTAATTTTAGAATAATTTAGAACAATAAATATGACAAGCGATTTACGTTCAATTTTACACTAAACAAAGTCTTCGCTTTGATTCTCGATCGGTATATACATCAGATGTCAATTTGAGTCAACTGACAGTTGACATGCTACAATAGCGTTCATTAGGTACAATGGTTTTATCGTTCCTTAGGTACGTGGTACGTCAGATGACTAATGCTGGCCAAACCTTCATAAGATCAGCCCAATATAGGCCCATAATTTAGGCCCAGTCGGCATCTAACGCAAAATTATAGTTAATAGGAAAATTAGGTTGATCAAATGTGATCTACAATCATTGTTCGTAGTGATATCGCAAAAAACTCGTAAGGATAAAACGAGACTGTCGTAATATGCTTAGCTGATCTTAAACGTAATTATGCTTGGCTTAATGACGAGTTTTATCACGTTAAATACGATGACTTGGTTCATCGATAATTTTCTTCTTTATTTTTAATTCAACATCATTCTAAATACAAATATGAATTATAGCGAATACACATTTGAAAATTCTTCTGTGAATAAAGATTCACAAACGGTTGTGAATGATGATGATACACGTTCAGAAGCTCTTTCTGGTTATCAAACAGATGGTATGTGATTGCTTTCACATTTTATTCAAAATCAAAACCATTAATTTAATCTTTTGCATTCCTATAGAATCTCTGGTAACTGAATACGCCTCCGCATTTGAAGAGGATGATGATGAAGCGGATCTTACACAAGAGGAGTGTTGGGAAGTTGTATCATCATTTTTTCAAAAATAAAGGAATTGTACGACAACAGTTGCGATTCTTTTGATGATTTTATTGATCGTGGTCTAGATGAAGTTATAAACGAAACCCCAATGCAAGCGATTAGATATTCTGCTTTTGAAGATGGGCAAGGAAATAATGGGTTGTTTTCTGTACTATTTTTGTTGTTTTTATATGGAATACATTATATACATTTTTTTAAAAATAAAATAATATAAAATTAGACTCAATACCGTTTCGAGTTTGATAAGCCATCATTTACTAAACCTCAATTTTCCGAGCATGAGGTATTAAAAGCAATTGTTTATGAAACTTTTTATATCAAAGCTAATAATAAACAGTTATTATGAAATCTATTACAATACAAATGATTTAAAAGGATATGTGAAGATTGTGATTGATGAACCGGTATTTTTTGGAAAGGTAACTTTGTTTCAAAATTAATAATTAAATTTATATATGATATAAATAAAAAATAGATTTCTGTTATGGTGATTTCTAAATTTTTATCATAGCTGATTTGACTTTTGAGGAATTGAAAGAACATCATTAAAGTCCATATGATCAGGTATAATGATTTAACCTTCTATTAACATAAAATATTCCCATGCTAATTTTACTTCATTTTAGGGTTGTTACTTTATAATAAACGGTTCCGAGGGAATACATTTAACGCGGTTCGGGAGAAACGGATCGAGTACGTATTGGCTTAAATTATTAATTTTATTGCAAATTTGTTAAAATCATAATATGATGACGCATACCGTAGGTATGCGAAAAACATTATATATAACGAATTTCTGCTTCACGTTGGAGTAAGAATAGACTTCAATTAAAGAATATTTTTTGGGATACTTGGCGCATAGACTTTTACTCTCTACTCTTGACCGTCGAGAACTTGATGATCGAGATCATTTTTGGAAAAAAACGCCTTGATATGGCTGGTCCTATTATGATTTCATTATTTCGCACTTTATAACAAAACAGTGTTAAATGATATGGCTGCTTATTTTAGAAAGGTGAATAAAAGATTTTTTTTTTACAAGTTTTTAAAATTTAATTATATGTGTTCACATGTTTGTTATTTCGATTATTTTCTTTGATTAGTGTATTTCTAGTAAATGCGAATTCAAATTAACTTTCGCGATAAGATCACATATAATTATCAATGGATTTAGATACTCAATTGGTACCGGTAATTGGGGAGATGCCAATAGGGCAGGCAGGTAAGTTACTTTATCTTGAAAAAAAAAATTCATTATCGTATTATTATTAATCCCTTTCCTCTTCAATAATCCAGGTCTAGTGTTTCACAAGTCCTAAACAGATTCACTTATGTGTCAACTATATCACATCTTCGAAGATGTAATGCTCCAATCGGACGCGCAACTTCATAATACACATTGGGGTTACATATTCCCTGCTGAAACTCCTGAGGGGCAAACCTACGGTCTAATGAAAAGTCTAGCGCTAATGTCATACGTCTCAGTGTCTATTCCTCTGATATTTTAAATGAATTTATTAACAGTTGTGATTTCTGTCAAAACATTAATGAAATACCGTTTGATAACATTGTAAATCCACAAAAGTTTTTGTCAATGAAATTTGACTTGTATTACCGATAGACCTTTGGATTTAATAAAATCTATTTGGGAGAAATTCTCTTCCGGCTGACGTTGGCATTGTTAATAATATACTTGTGAATGAAGTAAGATTCCCCAATGAATCAGGAAGAATGTGTAGATCCACTATTTGTCGTCGATCAGCATTTAGTTTTGACTTCAGATACTTTATCAAAATTAAAATTGGTAATAAATATTTACATATATATAAATATATACGTATTATCTTAAATTTATTCTTCATACCTTCTTATTATTAATCAATAAGAGATAGCACAGGAGGCAAACCAAAGTTTATGGGAGGCATTAGTATTAGAACGTTACATCGAATATATTGATGCTGAAGAGGGAGAATCTACCATGATATGTATCTCTCCGGATGAATTATACGAGTCGAGTTTGTATAATTTACGTAAACTTGAAGGTTTAAGACCAAGAAGGAAAAGACGATCGGTCCATGAACGTCTAATTAATTTACCAACTTATCCAAATAAATGGACCCATTGTGAAACATCCAAGTATGATTTTGGTGTTTCCGCCAGTCTAATTCCATTTTCTGATCATAATCAAGTAAAATAATACACAGATTAAAATAAAATAATGATGATTGTTGCAAAATTTTAGTTTCCTCGAAATACCTATCAATCCGCTATGAGTAAGTAGGCAATGGGAATTTACGCGACTAATTTTCGATTACGAATAGATGTATTGGCCAATTTGTTGCATTATCCTCAGAAGCCTCTGTAACCACAAAAGTTATGGAATACTTTCAATGTTATCGTAGCTATTATGTGTTATGGAGGGTACGTACAATCAAGAAGATTCTTTGATTATAAACCAAAGTAGCATTGACAGGGGATTGTTTAGAAGCTTTACTTATCAACGTTACTTGATCAAGAAAAAAAGTGGTACAGTAATTATTTAGATTACATTTTTAAGATTTATTAATATATTTAAAACGTTTTTTTTTAAAAAAAAAATATATACATATAAAGGGACCCTTGGATTGAAACGTGGAAATTGTGAGAAACTTGTTGACGAGGGGTTCGTACCTTTTGGGATTCGAGTTTGTGGAAATGATATTCTCATAGAAAATGTGTCCACACTTCTTGGCCAACGAAATGTATATCAAAATGTTTCTACACTATTAAGATCTACTGAACATGAAATCGTTGATCAAGTAATTGTTAAACCAAGTCGGAGCTAATTGGTGAAAGTTGGAGTTTAAAAAACACGAATTCCTGAAATTGGAGATAAATTCGCAAGTCGTCATGGTCATAAAGGAACCATTGAAATCAATTATCGTCAAGAGGAGATGCCAACATTTAATTGAATGTTTAATGAGAAAGGTATAGTAAAAAGATATGTTTTAAAACCATACAGTATATACGTGGCTTAATACTAACTTCCGATTGTATACACTTGTTCATAATGCTTTCGTTGTTTTCGGGTAGTGATGGTGAGGCTACAGCTTTGTCTGAAGTTACCGTAGAATCCATTTTGCGAAAACTTGGTTCTTTTGGATTCCACCGTCGTGGATTGGAAGTTATGTATAATGGTCATACTTGACGTAAATTAGCCGCACAAATTTTCATTTGACCGACTTATTATCAACGGTTAAAACATATGGTTCAAGATAAAATTCAGTAAGTATTTTCCATATAGTATACAATTAATTAATTTAGAATTGCACCAAATATAAATTGAAAATATATAGTTCACGCGGAAGGGGTCCAGTTAATATATTAACTAGACAACCAGTTGAGGGACGTAGTCGTGAAGGATGATTAAGATTTGGCGAAATGGAACGAGGTTGTATGATTACTCACGGAATAGCCTTTTGGAGGTATTTTGTATTATATGAATTTCAAATATCTTTTAGATTTATTGCTTGCTTACGCTATTTTCATTTGTAAAAAAAAAATTATTACCGTACCGTTCCGAAATTAAGCAACCCTTTTTGCTATAGGGTTGCTTAATTTCGGGTACTTTTTCTTTCGTAGAAGAAGAAACGAAAAAATTGCTGCATAATAAACATTTCGTCATCACGTTACGCAAAATAATCATCTGTATAACGTAGCGCGATATCACGATCAATAAATCACGCGCGATCAATCACGAACTTGTTTCTAAACTTGTTTTAAAACTTAATATGTCGCCACAAAAGCAAAAAAGACTAATATCTGTTAATAAAAAAACCCTCAAACGAAGCCGCAATTCATATTCTATTGAGCAAAAGAGACAAGTTGTCACTTATGCTAAGGAAAATGGAATAATTAGAGCGGCAAATACTTTTGAACTTTATAAAAGCATAGTTAGTCGCTGGGTTAATTCAAATGAAAAATGGTTTAAAGAACCAAACCAAAACCGCAAACGAATAGGTTCTGGCCGAAAAAGCTTTTACCCAGATGCTGAAAAAAAACTATACGATTGGATCATTGAGCAGAGGAAGCAGGGTTTAGGTGTTACATATGCCATCGCACGAGTTAAGATGCTGGATATTTAAAAGAACCTGCTATGAAGTCTTTATGGATATTCAACAAATGAATTTAAAACATCAAATCGTTGGATGTTTGTATTCATGAAAAGATTTAATCTATCTCGGCGACGTCGAACTAAAGTTTCGCAAAAGCTTCCATCACAAACTGCTGAGTTATTAGAAAATTTCCGTCAGTTCATCATCAACCTTAGAACCGAAAAATAATTTGAGTTATCTAACATTTTAAATATAGACGAAACTCCTGTCTGGTTCGACATGACAGGAAACTTTACAATCGATATTATAGGCGAAAAAACAATTCATATTCGCAGCACTGGTAATAAAAAGAACTGATTCACAGTTGTCTTGATATGTACTGCGAGTAAAGTTCCATTTAACAGTTATTTTTTCTTTTAGCTTTATTTTTATCTAATTTTTATCCTGTAGATGGTACAAAATTTCCGCTGATTTGCATCTTTAAAGGTAAACAACTACCACGTGATGAACAGGTTCCATACAGTATCATTTTTTGGTTTCAGAAGAATGGATGGATGGATAATGATTTAATGAAGAAATATGTTGATTACATTAATGATAATCTAACAATCAATAATGCTTCAAAAATGATGGTATACAATTTTTTCTGAGGATATCATGAAGATTCAGTTAAAACCAGGTTTCGTAATAATGGTATTGATTTGGCGGTTATTCTGAGTGGTTTAACTAGCATATATCAACCACTTAATGTAACAATTAATAAGCTATTTAAAGACAATCTTCATAAGGAATGGTATATCTAAATGACAGGAGGTAGTGCAGGAGTAACTATATCAGGAAATCTTCATCGTGCTAAGTTATCTGATATTTGTGGGTGGGTCAAATGTTCTTAGGAAGGAATTCTAAACGAAATGGTTATAAAGTCTTTCAAGACTTGCAAGATTTTGACTTCTTTGGCCATATTGGATGATGATAATGAAGATTCTAGTGATGATATTATTGGTGGTGATGATAGCGATAGCAATGACAATGAATAATATTACTAATTACTGTAGTTTAGACTAATTAATATTTTATAATAAAAATACATTATTAATAAATTTAATGCTAATTTTAATGTTTATTATATTTAATTATTATGTTTAATTACAGGAATTTATGGGTTGCTTAATTTTGGAACGGTATGGTATATAGGAATGATTTAATGATATCGCAGATGCTTATAGAATTCATATGTGTGATATTTGTAAACTGATGTGTATAATACAAGTTTCAAAAAAAAATAAAATTTTTAAATTTAAATTAGAGTTTTAGAATCTTATTCTTCATAATAATTTCTCTCAATAATATTTCTTTTGTAACCTACGATATATTTTACTCCTAATTTTTTTGTTTTTAAAATTTAAAAGACTTTATTTAGATTAAATAATATATTATTTTTTTTTTTTTTTATAAATATTTATCAAAATCTTAAACTTTATATGAATATAAAAAATCTTTTAAATTATACTATTGATTTATAAATTTTTATTATTTTGAATTATTATTAGAAAATTAATACATTTATTATTTTATATATAAAATTGAAAAATATGTATTAGAATTATTATAAGTCTTTCTTTATTTGAATTATTTTTGTAATCTGGTTAATTGGTATTTTCCAATCAACTAAAATGACTAACAGTTTGCAATCAAAAATGCTAATCAACTAGGTTTGAACTGGCCTAATATGTCTATTGCTTCATACATAATCACATAAATTCGAGGTGCTATTGAAACATTCAGAAAAAATAGAGCATCCTTAACTTAGGAAGGGGGTATAGACTTTTATCCTAAACTGCAACTATATATGTCATATGATATATACTTTAAAATTATTTATTTATACATAGGGTTAGTTGCTCAAAAAAATGCGTTAAATTTATTTCTTTTATTATATGCTTTTTGAATATGTCTCTGTGGTAATTAATAATTTTTTTCCTTAACTTATAATAATCAAATTCAATAGATTTTCTTATGGTCATACATTTATTTTAGAAATAAACACTAAAAAAAAAAATTAAATAATAAATATTTCACTTTTGAAAAATTTTCAATTTGGTTCCTTTTCTCTAAAGTTATAAACAAAGTGTTCAAATATAAATTTTATCTTTATATTCTTTTTAATATAAAAATACCTAAACTTATATTATCAGTTGAGATAAAAAGAGAGTCAAAGAACTAAATTGTTGCTATTTTGAAAGTTTGAATGTTGAGAATGGTGAATATTTCACTAAGTTATTTTGTCGAGTTATTGTATATCCAAAGTTATACTGTTACTAGGTTAAAATATCTGAAAAATAAAAGCTCTTCGTGGTTACAATTTTAGCTATAAATAGTTCTTTCCTGTTTCTGAAATCTCAAATTCAGTACTACCCTAAGAATTGTAGTGAATAGGATATACAAATCAGTTCTTCTTGATTTTTGATAATGATGACGCAAATTGCTCATTTTTTATTTTTATATTTTATAAAAGCATAATAACAAAGAAAAGATAAACGTTAGCAAAAACTTGAAAAGTAAAAAATAGGTATATTTTAATGAAAAATCACAGGTCCTTATATTGTCTGAGAGGGTTGAAATGCTTTCCTGTTAATCAGATAAGAAATTCAGTGCAGTATTATGATAGTCTTCTTGAAGGAATAATTATTCCTTTTAATATAGAAGATATTCTTACTGATAGTGTGAACTTATATTTAAATTATAAATATTTTTGTATTTTATTTTTTTCTAATTTTACTTTATGTATATTTTATTTTTATTATAAATATCTTTGTATTTTCCTATATAATAAAATCTAACACTGGATATTATTATACTTTAATAAAAATTTGTTTCTTTTATAAACATTCATAATATTGTAGGGTAGTTCAATTATTATTTTCATATGATTTTTTATATGATAGATTGCTTATAATAATTATGAATTTCTCTTTTATTTGAAATTTTCAATCCCATATCAAATTCTATTAAAATAACATAAATATATAAAATGTTATCTATTTAAGTAAGCCTGTATAATCATCACGCTATAAATTTTATATTATGTTTTATGAAGTATCAAGATATAGAGAATATCGAATCTTCAATTTTTTATAATATAATTTTAAAGAATTTTATTAACATAATTATAGTTTTCATAATTAATTAATTAATTGTATTTTGATAATTTTTAATTAGTTAATTTATTATTTAAAAAAATTTTGATGAATTGAACTCTTTTATTCTTAAATTACAAAGTTAGTATATCAAGACGTGGCTGTACTTGTATTATATATTTATAGTATAATTTTAGCATTCAACAAATGCTAATTTGGATCATCAAACAGATTACTTAATATAAAGTTAATGTTATTATTAAATGTAATAATATTTTATATCAATTTAACTTTATTAACACTTATAGAGTTTCTATAAAAAACATAAAATTATTTTTTCAAAAACATTTAAAATTATTTATAATAATTATTTATTTATTAAGTAAAATTAAGTATAATAGTATAAAAATATATAATTGTAATTATTTAAATTTAGAAATTTATGAATTATTAATATATTTTTTTTGAATATATAAGTTATATATAATTTATACTTTTAATTTATATATGAAGTTGAAATTAAAACCTAAAAATTAAAATATTTTGAATTTAAAAATTAAATTAAAAAGCTAAAATATTTAAATAATATTATATTATATAAATTACTCTTAGAAAAATATATGGTAAAGCTTTTCTTAAATTTCTCAATATTGGACAAATTAATTAATAAAAATATTTTTTAAAGAAATCTTTAGTTTTGATTATAATGTACTATATATATATTTATATTTGTATATAAATATATACTGTATATTAATTTTAATAAATAAAACATAAAAACTCTATTTTCCTTTTTATTAAAGTTATATAATTTAATATAAGAAAATATTATGAATTAAATAAGCTTAAACATATACAAATAAATCTAATTATATATAGTCGAAAAATTCATTAAACTATAGCATATATTTTAAAAATCTTAAAAAGCATCAATATAGATATAATCATTAAACATACTAATTTTAATAATAGATTAAGTACTAAAAAATTAGAAAATTACTTTGTATTTACTTTAAAAATTCTTAAAATAAATAAATTTTTAACTGACTAGATATTTTTCTAAATAGTTAGTTTATTATATATAAAAAAATAAAAAATTATTATTCTAAAATTTATGAAAAAGCTATTATTTAAATTTATTAATTTAATGATTTAATTTAGTTAAAAATAATAT